CGCGCGCGCGCGCGCGCGCGCGCGTGTGTGTGTGTGTGTGTGTGTGTGTGTGGAAATAATTATACAATAGCTATAGTTAATTAATTGATCAAAATTATTTATTGAGATAGCAAATTGTCGTAGTTCCGCATCGAGATATATTCATCCGTGTGTGTTACGCAAGAGTGATCGAAAGAGGATATCGTTGACGAACGATATTTCGACGTTAAGGACGTTAAAGGGGAGATGAGAAAAAGCCAACTGCTCAGCTTTGGCGCAGCTCGGGAATTTCTGTCGAACTCGAGAGATGAAGCAATATAACGTCTCGTACGAGAGGTTAACGGGAAGCGAGAGCTAGTTCGATTACCCGGGAATTGGTCTTTCATCGTCGCTCTAATTCGACGGTTACGTGGCAGTTTTCCGGAAGACTCGCGCGTTTACAACTTTGCAACCAACGATTGCAATGGTTGCGAAGGACTCTACTGGAATTTGTCGGCTACGGTAAATCACGCAATGCCGTGTGAAAATGATTACAACAAATGCTGCGTAACTTATGTAACTTATTATAAAGGATAAAACAAAAAATTAATATTAATTTAAAGCACACAAGAGAATAAAAGAAATAAAAAAATCGATCTATAATTTCATTCAATTTTACAAATAAATTTTTCTACTGGAGCTTATTTCATAAATTAGCTTGGTGAAATTATTTTTAAAAGATTATTTAAAAATTAGCAGTAATTTAAAAAAAGGTGATTATACCTCATTTTACATATTAGCAACATAATTTCGAAACTTTCAAGTTAAATTAATAATAATATTATAATGAAATGTGAAATTTAATTTTATTTTCATCGATGAAAGTATAAACATATTAAAATTTAATAGCAATTGCGTAATCAACAGACTCAACGGACATTTTATTCGTGCGGTAAAACAAATTTTGCGTAAATATTCTGGCAATCATTGTAATTATTATCGTAATTATTCGCAATGAAACTTTCGCTTTGCTGCTTTATACTCGATTATAACAGAAAAGATTCATAAATAACTTAGTCACCTGCAAATCTGTCTGTCCGGTTGTCATGAATATTTAGTTGCGGTCACGTCGCGCAATGCGAAATCTTTCTCGTTTGTCGCACAGTGCTATTGCACTTGCGTTGGTTGACCCCCTTTTTTATCCGCAACGCCCGCAATTGCCCGAAATTGGAGACGGCCCAAACGTCCCGAGTGTGATGAGTGTAACTTCGTTCTCACTTTTCCATAAAAATTGTTTTGATTGGCTTATTTGATGGTATCCATCAATTAATAAATTTGCTTGCGGCTCCATTAAAAGTTTCACCCGACCATTCGAAGGTAAATGAGAAAGACAAATAACGTCAATATTTGAGAAAAGGTAGTGATTTGAATAAATTCTTCACACGTATAAAATTATCTTGAGAATAAGATATGCGATATCGTTGCACGCAATCCGCCCCTCGTTACTTTCGCGAATTACATCTGCGAAGTGCGAGCTTGCATGTAATCGACGAATGAAGCAATCCGCTCGTGCTGTGTAATCATAAAGTTCGTAACTACCTTTTCGCACGGTCAACTGAAAACTACCCGCTCGTGCAGTTGCCAAAAACCATGCCACTATATCGTTAGCATCAGCTCAAACAGAATCTCGTGAAATAAAATCTGTCTTGCTTTGTTATCTTTTTGTTACTATCACGCTTTTCCGATTCTTTGAATTGGACAGTCTTAAATCTGTAACACAATCCTGATTTTTATAATAATAATAATAAAAAAAGAAAAAGATGCTTTGATATAACTCAATTATTCCTACATTTATTGTTGTGGTCTATTAAAAATGCACATTCGAAAATTGTGAAAAAAAGACTCGAATAAAAGAACATCTCTAATATTATTGATATTCTTTATACAGGTCAAATATTTGTGACAGTCGTATATTAAAATTTATAAAAAATCGTTATATCACCCTTTTTGTTCAAATATATATAAAATTGTCAGAGAAATGAATGTTATAAATAAATGTAAAGTCTGAGACCGACACGATACAAATGTATGCACGTTTGTTATTTTAATCGCTGGAGATGGTAGTGAGACACGAAATCGCGATTCTGACAACGGTATAATCACGAGTAAAATAAAGTAAGAACACTAGGATTCGCGAGCTGCACCGTTGGGCTACCAGCGACGAAGAGTCAGCTCTCTGGTACTCAAACCACGGAAACCGCAATCCTTAATTTCTTCGCGCTTGTGTTTCATTTCGCTTCGCACGTGAAATCATCACCGGAGAAGATCGATTAAAGAATAGGAGAATTAACACAAAGTGCATAACACCCATTTTTTTTTTTTTAACATTGCAGCCTCCAATGAATGAAGCAAGCTCCGGCAAATACAAATTTCCTTGGATCCACCACGTGACATTCGACTTTCATTCAACACAATTTCGTCTTCACGTATCGATTGATAGATTCAATTAAAATGTTCCATGCTCTCTCACTAACGAACTTACGCTCTTGTCAGAACGGGATTCTAGTGAAACGCGGATCGGATATAAGTCAGTGTTATCCACGATATATAGCGTGTTATCACTGCGTGGCGGCTTGTCCGCGACTGAGAGAGCTTTCGGACCAACCCCCTCCGAGTTTCCTGGGTCGGCCGCGGTAGCGCTGCGTAACCGAGTCCACCCCCGTTTTCTCTCTCTTTCCCTCTATCGGCCATCTCTTTGCCCTCTCCCTTACCTTGTTCGTTTCTCTTTCTCGCACCCCGTGTTCCACCAGTTTCCGTTGCCCCCACGACAAAAACAATTGCCTCTCTGCCCCCCCCCTCCCCTCTCCCCCCGCTGCCTCCTAGTCCGTACTGTCCGATACGTATCTGCATTCCCTATGTATTAGGTAGTAAAGTGGCTCCACTCTCACCCTCCGCCA